ATTTTGAAAACACGAAAATACCTAAATATAAAATTGACGACACGAGATCTGTGGAACCAGAAATCGGTAAAATTGGAAAAAATAGATTTTGAGAGTTATACACGGATATATCCGTGTCAAAGGGGGGTGGGGGGTGGATAATTATAGTGCCAAACTACTTCCACGGGGCAGAGCCCTCCTTGAGAAGCTAACAGTCGCTCAGCTACTCAATAAATTACACGCCGTTTATGGAAAGCGACGTTTCATTACTGTGACCACAAGAGATCGCCACTGGACCCTACCATGAGCCAGATGAATCCAACCGGCACCCACCCATCCCACTTCATTAAGAGTGCTCTTAAACCTCGGCGAGCAGCAACACCCCCACAGCATCCACCATCTTCGAAGTTCCAATGGTCAGCGAGAATCGAATCTGCAACTCTGACGAATTCCCGTTACAAACACAGCGAAACACCCACGCCCGTGGCTTTTGCTTGTGAGTGCATGAGCTTACATTTTCTACGTTAATGAAACGGGAAATCGCGGGAGAAGACGCGAGCTTTATTTGCAGGAACAGATCAAAGCCAGTTTTGCGTTTCATGAGATGAGGCGTCAGGGCACAGTCAACGCCGGCGGCCAGGTGCCGCCATCTTAGCGCTAAATAACAAACTCCTTTTTCAAGAAGCTGTAAGTCGCTCAGATTAAAACCGATCTTAAATACGGTTTTCGACGTCGGACTGGATTCAACTGGCTCTCGACAGGGGCAAACCAGGTTCTGTTTCGACCACCTGAAATACTATCAGCTTCTGCAGAACCGTCACAGAAAACAAGCCAGGGGAACGGTTCCAGAGCAGTCGACAGGATATGACCTTTGACCTTTTCCCGAGGCAACGATTGTTAACCATTGTGTCCAAGGAAGCCTGGATGATACCCCGCCCGGTCAATCTGGGGCGCATCGACGCATGTAGGTCTCTTCTTCGCTAACGTTCCATCTAACGACTAAAACTTGAATGTGTCGCCAAATTTTCGCACACCAAATCTGATTAAAATTCGTTCAGTCGTCGGCCAGTCGTCAACATGCGAACAGACGGAGAAGCGGATGAAAAAGACATCTGACGGGGGCAAACCCCAGCGAGAAGAGACAAACACGAATGTCTGAGAGCCGACGAAAAGGTAAATTTCACTTCTGGTGGTAGGTCAGTGTTCCGCCTGCTTCAAGAATCAATAATTCTTTGCGGTGAGTTCGAAGATAATCACAGCGACGGATTTCGTACGAGCCCCGCGGTAAACAGCGATTAATTCCTTAATCAGCGTTAACCAGTTGATATTCGGTGAAGTGGTGTGTTTTCTTCGCGGTACGGACCGAATTCTTAAATATTATTCGGAAGAGTTTCGGCTTCAAAGGGTTGCAAATCCACGTTCGGGATGTTTCCTTGTCCAAGAATCTTCCAAGAAAACTTCTGGAGCAGGCCCTAACTAACGAAGATTAGTAAATCTCGCAGAGTCAAATGTAGAACTTTAAAGAAGACAATTCGGAGTTTGGCAATGAGCATTAATTACGGGTTTAGATTCAAACTTGAATAAAGTCTGAAACAAAATCTGTTCCAAAGTTACACAATAAGAGCTTCCTCCTCTAGATCTTAAATGAATTGAAAATGAAAATGATTTAGGAATTATCTGGAGCCTAGATCACTCATTCTCTTACTGACAATCTGGCTTACAGTTAGACTATTATCCATTACTTGGGAATGGACCCGAGAATCTAAACAGCTACAAACACTCCCCTCCGGGCATTCGGCGGGTCATAAAACAGAGACCGCTTCGTAACCAGAAGGCCCGAGTTCGTATCGTGATCCACGAACCGGCTAATCTGACAAAGAATCGCTAATATTTCTAGCAGTCACTTCAAGACAAGACAACGGTAATTTTACGAACCCTCCACCACTGCGCCCTCAGAACGTTTTGCACGTATTTAGACGGCGCTTAGGGCTTCGTGCACCCCTGACAGCGGTGCAACCAATGAGTGGCTCTCGATACTAGGCACGGGAGGGAACTGCAGGTTTCGAACACGCAAACCGCGAGTCTCTAATCATGCAGCGAAAACCCAGATGCGCGGCCTGCCATGTTGTTTCACTGAGAAAGACTGAAATCTAAGGGTTTTAAAGTAATTATAAAATCTCGTTTGCCTAATGCGAGCATTTCGCATCTGCGTTTATGTTAATGGGAATAAAGACAGAAGGAAAACAGTAGATTTTATAATACGAATTGTACAAAAGGAAAACAACATCTGAAGCAGAGAAACTAATTTTCTTAGTTTTGGGATCCGCTGTACGAGTTCACGGAAGTAATTACACAACTCGTCTACCTACCCCTCGCCAAACATGACATGCACTGAAATGTAAACCAAATTTGCTATGGACCGATCTTGCACGGACCCTCCCCATTGGATAGTCCTAACGACAGCGAAGAACATGTCCTGTCCGAACCCTTCGCCGTCATCTGTCGTGCGCTGCGGGTCAACGTAACAATAAGGCGCACTTTTACACACCAGCAAGCGTCCATAACTTTTTATCATCTACGAGTTCAATCCTCTTAAAGGATGAAATAAAAAAAGGTCCTCAATTACGCGGAGATTTCCAGGGTTACGTATTTGACGTAATGGAAATAAGACACACATCGCCTTATTTAAACCTACACGTAGTTACTTAAGCAGCGACATTTTTAAAACTGCATTTTGCCATCATCGCTGAGAACGCTCCTACCTCGGTCATATGAAACTTCGAGACAAAGGAACAAAATAGATAATTTAACAAATAATGGAGGAAAGGAGGACAGACGAATATTAAACCATCATCAATTAAATTAGGTTTATCACAGAGTGCGTGAAGAGAGGAGTCTACGAGTCGCTGCATTCCAGTCTACTGGCCGATAGAAGATTTCAAACTTCTGCCTGGATGCTCGGCGCACAGCCCAGAAGGCAGCCTCCATTTTAGACGGTCAGGATTTTAAGAACTTTGACTGCTCCAGAGTTTAATTAAAATCAAAATCAAAATACTTCCCTAATCACGTCGTACCAGAGGGACTCATCTTACGTTATTTGAGCATAGAGGACAGGCAGCGTCTGTCCGCATATTTCATGCTCGAAGCTGTTAAATGGATTCGGATTAAATTTGGTACGCAAGGATTACACCAAAAAGTGTCGGTCCGAGTTCCGTTTGTACCGATGCTGATTTTCTGAATTCTAATGCAATGTGGACGGGTTTCGTAACGCTGCTAGTCGCCTATCAGTACAAAAACATCGATAAATTAATCGCCGCGAAAACGTCACATCTCTTGCGCAATCTGGTTAGTGTTCGTACCGCCGTTTGCATGGAACTTTTACAACACAGCTTTCCTAACTTGTTTAATTCTTTTAGCTCCACGTGATTGTTTGAATTCTCTTTCATCGCGAATAAAGAATCAGTGGACCTGAGAAAGGTTGTTCCTATGGCGAAGCTCATGTTTTTTAAATGCGTAATTTTTCAGTCCTAATAAACTACCGAAAAAACCCAAATATTTCTACTTCGTTCCCTCAAATATGTCGCAGTTTTCCCAGACGCAAATTAACAAATTCACCGAGTCATAAAAAATACGTCCTAAACTTTTGTTACGTATTTTATGAAAGTGCTTTCATCTGTAAACATTACTTCAGTTGGGATACTGCAGTTTCAGAAGCAGAAACGAGATATCGCGAATAGAAATGTATCGATAATCGCGGGAACACGAGCACCCCAAACTACAAAAACTTACTCTCTTCCCCAGCAGATGGCCAAGAACGTCTTAACTCGCGTTCCACCGAAACAGACGAATGCATTTTAGAGAATAAGAGAGGGCCAGATACAAATTTAGGGTTTGTGGGTAGATCGTGCGTTCGATTAGGCTTATGCATGCCCATATGAGTGTTATAAGGAGCGAAGGGTAAAATTGAGACCAAACCTTCCCGCCTCTATTCGACGTCTACCACGAGAGTCAAATGGGGACCACGGATAAGTTTTCTGCATGGTCCTGACATCTTTTGGCGGCAGCCTGGAGTTCTGAATCCGAAACAGTTTGTTACGTTGGCAACCCTCGTCTACTTGTGCATCACTGACGAAAGTATGAAGGTTCGGAGACAGGTCAGGGATATTACCAGGAATATTTTCGTTACAAACTAACCCCCCCACCCCCAATTCCAGCCAGAGCCTGAATTATATACGTTATTACGTGGCTTCCAGAAGACATGACAAGGGAAAAAGCTGTGTGTTGTAGCCTTCAAATTATATTATTAATGAACACAGCGCGGCAAAGTTTCCTTCGCGCTATGTGGGTTTAGATTTGGCACTAAAAATTACAATATTAAAAACTCTTGACTACGGCAAAAGTTGGCATAGAGCTGTTTTAATTTCCATTGTGTGAAAAAGCAATTCAGTAAACGAGGGCGGCCACACGACGAAAATTTCCCGACAGAAGACACAAATCCCATATCTAATAAACGTCACTGACTCACGAACATTCATAATCTAATTCATTCTCGAGTTTCGGGCGAACTTAAGTAATACAAAGGGACTCTGTCTTCAAGCGGATTATTAAAGAACGAGGGCATTAGCAAATATAAAATGTAATGATAAATAACTCCTGCAGGGTCGGGATTGCAACTGGGGGTTCTTTTGAGCAGAAAGAAAGTTCATCTTGAAATGTTTCTTTCTTCAGTGCCCCTGCGGTGCTTTCCAGCGAAATAATTTGTATTTTATTTTCTAATTAATTCATTTTTAAAACTAGTCTAAAAATATACGTAAATTAAAAAATAAAACCAAGTGACAGTGTTTTAAAATTAAATCTGTTCTAAAATTGCTGTGATTCGACGTAAGACGAGAGCAAAGACTGGAGAACGTTTTGCAACAAGAGATTAGGCGAATGTGGGCAAGTGAGAGGCTGCAATACCGACTCTCACATGTGATCCGCCCTATTAGCTTCAATAAAGGAACAACCATTGCATTGCCTACCTGACGCATGGTCGAAAATATCCGGTAGATGTCACCTGTGAATTACTTCGCCCATGGAACAATTTCTGTCGTCATAGTGCCTCGCGCTCCTTGGCACGACCTCAACAAAACGGACGCCTCCCTGAAACAGAAGAGGAACCATTCGTAAAATGGATTTGGATTTGGCTCACTTCACGTCGTCATATTTATTTAAAATGGCTCTCGTGTGATTTTAATTTGAAAACTGCTGTGGTGAGTGTTTATAAACAGAGTGAGCTCACAAGAACTCGGTCTTTGTAAATTTTTATGGGTGCGAAGCTTTGATGATATGAAGAAAGAATCAGTGACATCACGTTGATACTAATGATCAGATTAAATTTCAAATGTTTAAACACGTTTCTCAGTGTGGTGAATAAATTTTTGTAATTCTAAAAATGAAATATTATCTTTAATAATTACAATGGTGACGATAAACTACGCGTATCATCAGAAGATCTGTTCTGTTCCTGTTTACTGACAGTCCCCCCCCCCCCCCAAATGCAATCGAATGCTAATAAACCTAATGCTTCATTTCTGATCATGACTGGCTAAGTGCAGATTCAAATTCAAAACGCGTTATGTCGATCATAGAGGCAGTTGGGCGAAAAATTCTCCGCGACCCAACAACGGCGAAAAAGTGAACAGATGTTAAGTCAAAGGCCAACGATCCCATGAGGTAGTTCCAGGGGTTACGAATCTTTGGCCGATTAAACACACCCAGGCAATGACCACGAACCAGACTATTTTACAAAACACAGACAATTACGCGAAACATAAAGATAGGCGATGTGCTTTTCTTGTACGGTTATAGAAGCCACTCTCCAAAGAGAGCTTTACAGAAATAACGTTTGGCGAACACTGGGCAGGGACACCGCATTACAAAATTCGGGGCAGATCATCCAAGAAGTACCAAGCAGCTCTTCAAGGTAGACTTTGCACCACAAATGTCATATAGGCAACCTGCCGAGTACAGTGGACGAGATCCCCAAACATCCGACCGCCTTACGACCTTGGTCAAACCAGTGCCCACTAACCCTACATGTGGCACACGTATGTGAGCTACCACTGACCTCTTGCCGAAAGTGTCAGAGGTCAGTGTTGCAAGAGCTGGCACCACAACGGAGTTGCAGCAGCCAGGACCTTGATCTACGACTACCACGAGGTTAACCGCTACGTAACTGAATGAAGCCTGGTTCCCGCCTCGTGTTCACTTCCGCTGATCTTGAAAATACTCTTCGGTTCCAAACGTCACTACACCAGTGGATACAGCAGTCTGGAAGACGTTTCAGAGGCGCTTGCTGCCTCCACCATCAGGGCGATGAGGCACCAAGCACGTCCGAAACGTCGGTCAGTGTATACCACACTGCAAAGCGCAACATCCCAGAAGAGAACCGACTTCAGACTCGCCAGATCGAGAATGTGAAATCAAACCTGGCAACATTCTTCAAGGCAGAAGGAGGAGTTTCTCCGGCAAAGCCGATGATGAGTCTGGTTACTGGTGAAACCGGAAGCTTGTCAGGGCCTCGAGGGCATCCCTGGCAGTCAACCGCGTTGCACAAGACGACGACGGGCGTCAGACGATTCATTTTCAGCTGCAGTTAGCGAAAGGAAATGAGTGCGACGTCACCCCCTCACGGCTATTCAAACATCTCCAGTTGGTCCAGCGTCACACATTCAGGGCACTTCACATAAGCGTTCGCGTTTCCCTATCATCGTCATTCACGTTCATCAAGTTTCGGCACGACCCAAGGGCTGACGGCTCTATTCCCGTCCACGGGCGACTGCCTGCGAATTTCTTGGACGACATCCATCGAATTCGTTTTTCTTAATGATTCAAGACCAAAAAATTAGCCCAACTGCCATACAATTTAGTCGGAAGTAAATTATCTTTACGGTGGCAATTTTATTTTAAGATCCAACCCGGGACCCTTTGCAAACCAGGCTACTCAACTAAACCACTGGGACTTATATTGTGATTCCG